GCGGCTGCACAGCCAGTGAGCCATCTGAGATCCCTCGACTCCCAACAGCTTGGAGAAGACGGCCAGAGAGCGGTCGTCTGCCTGAGGGACAAACATAAAACCCATACTGCTACAGCTCGTTTCAAATCAGACATATTTTAGTGTAGGATTTTTTTAAAAAAACATTTCTAATGAATCAGGAGTCTTGCGAACCACAACCAGAGGGCATCATCCACACATGGAGAAAACAACTGAGAATCTTTCCAAGAAACAATTAATCTAGGAGGTTGCAAAAGGAACCAAGAATATATAAAGCTTTACTTTCAACAGGCCAAGACGACAACAAGAATGGACAAAAACGAGCCAAGACCAAAGTTTTGTGCTGATTGATTCTTGTCCATGAATCAAGTAGATTCATGGACAAGAATCTGATTGAGATGCTTTGTGATGATCTCAAACTGTTCATCATCAAATAATCTCCAATGTAACTGAAAGAAGAGTCTGTCAAAATCCCTCCAAAGTTGTAAAATATAAATTTGTAGTTGCTGAAAATGTGGAATGGTGCAGTAAGTTACTTACTTTTTCCTGGTTTCCAGGTTGGTTTATCAAAGGGTTTTACCCCCAAGAAGTTATCAAAACCTTTGTCTCATTTAGATTATTTTCGTATGACATGAGAATTTGTTTGCTGGTCTGAGACATGTGACAAAACAGGGGTCAAGACCTTTTTCACAGGACCGTAAATGAATTAGAATATGAAGTAGGAGAACGAAAACGTAGAGCAATGATTACATTGATGTAACTCCTGTCGGCGCTTCTGCCGCTGGCTTGAATGTTGACGTTTCCCAGGTGCAGGACAGCCGACAGGATCCTGAAGAGCTCCGTTTGCTGCTCAGACTGCACACCTGCGGAGGTCAGTTTCTCCGTCATGTTGTTGAACTTCATGTTCACGCAATCGTGCGACTTTAAGAGCAGAGAATACCGAGGATGGTGAAAGCATTGCGAGTTCGCTCCAGGTCCGACAGGTCGTCCGTGCCGGGAATCTGCATCTCCCCTCCCTGTTTGGTGTAGTGGAAATATTCAGGTGGCTCTAAAGTAAACCAATCAAAAACACGTCAGTCCATCGGCGGAGCAGGAATCACATCAGAAGCAGTGTGAACAGGGGCCCACCCAGTCTGAGTGATCTCATCTCAGGCAGGTCTCTGGCTGCACACAGCTGGTAGAAGATGTGGTAGTTTCTCTCCGATGACGCCTTGCACATAGAAAAAAAAAAAAGTAAATTAAACAGAAAAAACACTCATGAGTGTTTGCATCATTAAGAACTTTTAAAACTCAGCAACAAGCTGAAGAATCCCACCTGAAAGACGACCCTGGACTTCTCCAGCAGGTAGGTCCTCATGTTTGCCCCGATGATGTCCCCCTTCCTACCAAAACCGATCTCGATGTACTTCCCGAAGCGGCTGCTGTTGTCATTCCGGGTGGTTTTAGCATTCCCTATGGACTACAAAACAAAACAGAGGCACGACTTTAAAAAAGACAAAAGCCAACTTATCTGAGGGTGAAACCGCTTTCCCCATTCACCTCCATGATGGGGTTTGAAGCCAGCACCCTCTCCTCCACGCTGGTCTGCTGAGCCGCTCCTCCGACCACCGCAAAATACCGCATGGTGAATTTGGCTGAAACCGTTTTTCCAGAGCCGGACTCCCCGCTGATGATGATGGACTGATTCCTCTCTTCCCTGAGCACAAAACAGTGTTGCACATTTTAAGAGTCACAAAGTGCTTCAACAAACAAAATCACAAACACATTCCAAATCTCTGGATTTGTACCTTTTTCTTTTACTTGAGTAATTTTATTATTTCTATGTATTCATTTTACCCGCCCTCCCCCAAAATAAGCTGATGTCCCCCTCCTGTTAAAAGGAGCCGGGGACTGTGAATCGTCTTTATAGATTAAGCGCCACCACAAAAACTGAACCCGTCTTCACTTCCTTGACCTCACCTGCTCATGGTGCGGTATGCTTCCTCGGCCACAGAGAAGATGTGAGGCTCCATGTCACCCATGTCCTGTCCACTGTAAGCGTCAATTACCTCCTCGCCATATATGGACAGCTGATCGTAGGGATTTATGGCCACCAACACAATACCTGCAGGGACAGACAGAGAAGGAAACTTTCAAAGTGCCAAGCATATCCTGAGGATAAGATTGTAAAATAGAGCGATTCATTAAGTCAGGTTTTAGTTTCAAAGGTAAAGCAAAGCTTAAACACTTGTTCAAGATCTTCAACTATAAAACTTCATTTGATTCATATCCGTGTATGTCAGAGGTCATCTTTCATACCCGTTGAATTAACATTTTATCATTTCACAAACAACGCTTAATGTAATTTATTGTAATGAAGATGAATGCAAAATGGTGCAGAAAAGTGAAATGGAAGAAAAATGGTAAATTGTTCTACATCCCCCCCCATCCCAAACCACTGAACACACTGTGTTAGAATGGCCTAGTCAAAGTCCAGACTAAATACTACTTAGAATACGTGGCGGGACTTGTGAATTGTTGTTCTCAGATTTACTCCACACATCTAACTCAGCCTGATGCGACATAAAATCCCAGCAAAGTACAGTAAAACATGCAACTGCTTTATCTATTCCACCTGTGAGAAATGGGTTGATGTTCAAATTATGACTCTACAAACATTTTAAAAATGATTTCAAATGAATGTTTCTCCCACATCACCTTTCTCAGGATCCTCAGTCTAACCACATCTTCTAAAAGCTTTGCAAACTGTGAGGATGTGGGAGTTCCCTCCGAGTCTTAACCTTTGAGTTTATGATTTGGAGGCGTTATTATGGGCTGTAACAACACAAACAGAAGCACCCGGGAGCAGGCCACTGTTTTTATTAGCCTCGAAAAGTTCTTCCATCGTCTTCCACCCTGTGCAGTCCTGCTACAGTTCATCTATCAAACATAACGTTCCCTGAAATGTTTCTGCCGCCTTCTGGTCATTCTTTAGTCTCACCGCAGTATGTGTAGATGCTGTTGTAGTCCAGGAAGCGGACCCGGAGGTTGTGCAGCACAGCAGGCTCGTGCAGGAAGCTGAGAGCCGTCAGGTCGTTCTCCCCCTCCAGGATGTCAGGATTCCCCAGCGGGGGGAGATCGGACGGGGAGTCCACAGAGTAACGGACCTCCTGTCAAGAGCAGATTGAGTTGGAGATCATAAGTGTTGATCGCCAACTCGAATCAATTTGTATTTCGTGACAAACTTAAGTTTAGATAAACATGGGTGTTTATGAAGGGAAACTGGCTCACGTTTCCATTCTGGAGTTGCAGCAAAAGCTGTTCGTCTCCAGGTTTGTAGTCCCTCAGGAGAGTGGCTGAGACCCAAACTGCTTCTGGGTCAGGCACCCACACACCTGCCCCCTGACGACGTGACAGACAGGTGTGTAACTATAGAACCGTTTATAAAACAAACACATTCTGCAGGAAAACAGTCCAAACATCAGCTGAGAAAACATCTTCATAATCAAAATTTTATTTTATTTTTTTCACATTTTTTTCTCAATCAAACTCTTATGCCGTTGCATTTCCTCGCCCCACCCACGCAGCTCATTTGACACCCATCAGCACAAAAAGCTCTTAAACGGTGTTAAAAATTAACACTGGTCATCCTCTCTCTGAACTGCCTGTATGCTGAACTATTTTTCACCAGCGACATATTCATTTATTTATTTGCTCCAACAGATACATTTAAACTCTTTGCAGAGATTCATCAGAGTAATTTGAAATCAGTCAGGTAATGAGTAGCTTTAAGGACAATGATCCTACCAACCTGTCATCTGAGGGCCTCATTCTGAAAGCTAAATTGAAGTTAGACTGCAAGATAGATAGATAGATAGATAGATAGATAGATAGATAGATAGATAGATAGATAGATAGATAGATAGATAGATAGATAGATAGATAGATAGATAGATAGATGTTTGAGCTCACCTTTGTGTATAACTCCAGAGTTGCCATGTTTTTATCCTTTCCAATCTGTGAAGAGACTTGTTGTAAAACTTCAGCCCGGTCTGCATGTTCCTGCCCAAGGAGTGGCCGGTGTCCTCTGCCTCTCCTCAGAGTCTGCCTCTGTCCAGCTGACGGCAGTTTTGCACTTTGTTCACGCTCACATAAAGAGGAGAGCGGGTTAACTGTTAATCTGCAGCAAATGGATGAGCAAAGATTGATAATCACACTCAGGAGGAGCAGCTCGGGGTATTTCTTTCTCCTTTATTTTCCCCTTCCTCTCAGTGACACCTATTTGCTAAACTGAGGACGTCTACAAGACTTTCACTGATATTTGTACCAACTTAACTTTTTCACATTTTGTCACATTTCAACCACATTGGGATTTTAGGAGATGGACTAAAAGAATTTAATTTTAATCAATATAATAAGTAATTTTTTCCATGGATTTCTATGTAGCTGATTTTACTCCAAAGGCCACCAAAAACGACTTGTCTTCAAAAGTGCCATGTCAGCAAGTTTTTGCAAAGGTTTGACGTTGGCCAATTATTTGATTCACGTGTGTCGATGGAGGGATTCGCCCAAAACTTGCAGGGCAGCGTCATTCAAGGACTGGAGCTGCAGGCGCGTCCATCATCCAACACACCTGAATCAAATGGATGAGATCCCTCATCAACATGTTATTCCACTTCAGGTGTGTTAAGAAGAGACTGGGCCATTTCTGTTAGAATGGCCCAGTCAAAGTCCAGGCCAAAGAAGAAGAAAAAAAAATTCCAGAATACTTATCGTTAAAACTGCAGCACAAGAGAGAAACATAATTCTTAGTTTGAGATTATGTAGCAAAGTGACTGAAGCTAAATAATTTATGATGGTTTAAAAAAAAAAAAAAGCCTGTCACACTTTTCAGATTATTACATAAAGCTACAATTATGCACTACTTTCTGTGAGTCCCAATCCACTTCCTAAACATTGTACTGTACTCCAAGTAAAATGTGCGTAAGAACACAAAGCAGAGGTTTGGTACCATAGTGACAAATTTTATTTCTTTAACACATTGCAGCAATCTGCCTGCTCAGGTTGGATGGGGCATTTCATGATTCCAGCTGGATGTTGTGAGCCAGCACAGAAACCGTAAAACCCTTTCTCCTTGGAAAGTGATGGAATAAAAACTATCCCATCTGTCGTCGCCTGTTTTGTGCATACATTTTTAAAAGTGTGTGATAACACAGATGCTTTACAAGAAAAAAAAATGTACAAAAGCACTGTTGAATGTTTCTAAACACTCATTTTGGTGATGAAAAACAAAAAATAAGCAAAACCAAACCACCAAAAGCTCTGAAAGCTAAAGAAAAAATAATAATTAAAAGCACACCGCTTTTCTCGAACCAACACCGAGCATGATTTCAACAAGACATTTAAATACAAAATATGACAAGTTAAGCTTCATTTCAATTTCCAAAAACGGATGCAGTACAGTACAAAAAACATTCGCCTCAAAAGGAGCCCGCAATAAAAAGGGACAAACACGCCGGCTGTCTGCTGACCTGAACCATTCGGATCTGACATGATTGTCACAAACAAAAAACACACAAATCCATCCGAGACATTTTAGTAAAAAATACAATACTAAACACTCATCTTTGACACATTGTAAGGAAATTATATTGAATATACTGAAGTCATTCATAGATGTCTTTTACCAATTAAAAATCATCTGCGGTCATAAATACAGTCACAGAGTCCCACTGAATGGAGACAATCACGGGTGGTAAAATGGCTGCCGAGGGTCTTCTGGAGTGAGTGGACGCCGAGACTGGACCCAGTTCTTCTGGGCCACGCTGGAATGGAAATCCTAACACTCGTGTTTATGGGAGGGAGGCGGGCCAATGAGTCCAATCGGTCTTCAGAACAACCTGCCAGGACAAACAATCACTGGCGAGTTAGTTTACACTGAACGCCATTTGATTGAGCAGAATCTGATTCTTCCACTTATTGCATCTGTTAACCCAACGTTAACAGATGCAACGATTTCAAAGTGTTTTGCTAGGATTAGTGTAAAATATCAACGCAAAATAGTCCAAAATCTTAAACGATACATGGTTTAATATTTTCGTTATAGCGTTCTGTAAAAATGTGACATTTAAGTCAAATTTTTATAGAAAAAAAAAGGCTATCTTCCAAGATTGTCTTATATTTAAATGAACTCTGATCAGCTTCCCTGCAGAGGACGAGCATCTCCACACCATGATGCTGCTACCACTGCTGCATGGTACAACTGGGAAGGATGGTCTCAGCATTCACATTGCATAAAAGTTCAGCATTTCTTGCCACTTATCCCACATATTATGAGAGTGATTAATTCCAAACTTCTTTTGTAATTTTGATGATTATACATGCAGTCATTCATAGATGTCTTTTACCAATTAAAAATCATCTGCGGTCATAAATACAGTCAGAGTCCCACTGAATAGAGACATGCAGGTAACAGAAACCCTAAATTCAGTGTCTCAAATTATGACACTGTGAAAAAGGTTATTATAATTTACAAATTAAATGAATTCTGAAATTAATTGGTTGCACTCAGTAAAAATGGGCTGAATAAAAAAAATAAATGCATGCCACACTACACAGATTTTTTTGTAAAAATAAACAAAATTGTAAAAATTAAATTTTTTTCTTCCATTTCCCCCAATGTGAACTACTTTAAGTTGCTGCATCTGATAATTTTGCTGATGTAAAAATTTAAAGGCGTACGCATGAATTTAAAGGCACAGTCCCCCTGAGCGCCCTTCATTAGTGCCTCTGCTACCTGTGCTATAAGGTCTCCATGTCTTCGCTGCTGTTGCCCTCGTCCTTCGGGGGCTCCGCCTCGCTGGCGGCCTCCTCCACGTGGGCCAGCATGTCGGCCATCAGCGCCTCCTCCAGCCTCTTCCTGACGCTGTACACCAGCTCCTCCTGTTTCCTGCACACAAGAGCAACAGGAAGTCGTTAGGAGGCGACAGTTGGACCTCAGAGCAGATGCTGCGTTTCTGCACAGTCCCGGTGGTCGCTGGGGGTACTGCTCACAAGCAATCAGGTTCCAGCAAACTTGGCTGGATTACAAGCATTACTGTGCCCAGACATTAAATGGAAGTCATATAAACGTAAAACAAGCAGCATTGTTCCCAGAGTCCAGCTGATATTTCCCCTTTTTTAACTGTACGTCTCAAACTGACCAATGCAAACGTTTCACCACGAAGTAATTTCAGATCCGACTGTTTGAAATACGATTGCAGTAATTAAACGGTCTGAAGCTTTAACAGTGTGATCGTTTTGGCACCAACAACTTACCGGATGTCCTCGTCTGTGACTATAAAGGCCTTGCAGAGCGGCTGGGCAGTGTTCAGCCACACGCCCGGGTTCTTCTCCACCGCCGCAGACAGCTGGCCCGTGATCGGAGCAGCGCTCGTGTGCAGGGCGCTCGCTATAGCCGACAGGAGCGTTTTGTCCGTGCAGCCCGGGCCGACACCTGCAGAAGACTCGTCAGACATTTTCAGGACGACTTTCTCCAGACATGCTATCGCTCTGGTTAAAGGATCCAGTTGTTTACCCTGCAGGCCTTTAGGCAGCTCCATCGTCTTCACCAGCTCCTCTGCGATGTCATACGCGTTAAGACCGCTGAGCTTTTTCTCCCAGAAAAGCTGGGTGGAAAAAAACAGAAAGAAAACAAAACTTTTTCCATTTCAAGATGTATTTTCACAATACAGGAAATTCAAAAGTAAACTAATACGGCACATTACGGTGTGTGAAACCGGTCTTTCTGGTTGGCGAGGCAGTGGGACGCTTGTGATAATAACTGGGGGCTGTTCACCTGTCGGGGCTGATCGACAGCTTTCTGAGGATCCGTCTTCACTTTGTTGTTGGGATGGTTGGTAACTTTTGTAACAGGCTGCTTGAAAATGGAGGCCGTCTGTCTTACCGGCAGCGACGTGTTCAAGTCAGGTTTGCCCTGGGAAATGAGAAGAGCGGCGAATAGAGAAAGAATTATTGATCCAGGCTGATTTGGACTCTGAGTAATGCAGCAAAAATCTGAGATGAAAGTGATCAGTTTGGAAATGAAAGTTTAGCGGCAATAATGTCCCTTTTGGTTGGCAGCTCGGTGAAAAAGGGAATGAAACTTGATCACACGGCATATTTACACTTACAACAGTCCACTTGAAAGCAAACATCGCTTGGAGATTAAGCAGAACTAATTTGCATTTAAAAAAACCCTTTTCTGAGTGACATTTGAGGAAGAGTGTTGCATTATGGTTGCATCATTGTGTCTCAACTTGCTTGTATTTTGCATATGGTGGGTCTGAACACAGGAGACCCATTCTCAGGCTGCGTGTGAACAAACACTTAAAACCAGCTGGCTTACCGTGCCTTCAGTATAGTTGTGATATGAAGAGGGTCCTTAAAAAGACAAAACTGTTGTGTCAAATATCAACATAATCAAATATTCACATATTTTGTTATGTGGAAGAAAAAAAAAGTCCCATTGCTTGTTGCACCTCCTTTGCCAGTTAAGTTTGGATGTGTTTGGGATCTTGCATCTGTCCTAGTGGAACACCTAACTATGTCTAAGTTTCAACCATCTGACCCAGACAAAAAAAAGGGGAAAAAAAAAAAAATTAAAAAGGATTAGAGAACAAGCCAAATGCCCGCAAGAATCTAAGTTTTATGGTCAGATGAAAAGAAAATGATTGAGTTTTTTTACCACGATGAGAAGAACGTTTGAAAAAGTCAAGGTAATGCTTTGAAATTTAAGAATACTGCTAGTTATCATGCCATGGGGCTAATTTGCTCAAGAAAAACAAACAAAAAAACCCAAAACAGATATACCCTCCAGATTTTTAAAACTAATCTCAACTAGACTGGACACTGCTGGCAAACACATCAAGATTGGTTGCAGAAAAAGGACAGCTCCTGCAAAGATTTTGGGAAAACCTGACCTGAATTATATATGAATTATACATGAATTATAAATGCTTTAAAGCCAAGTGGATCAAATATCTAGCCAGAATTATCCCATAGGCTCGGTGTGGTTTTTGTCTTTGCAACTTGCTGAGAGACAATTAGCACACACAATCAGTGATGCGTGTGTGTGTGGGGGTGTGTGTGTGGACGTGTGTGTGTTTGAGCATGCATGTATATTTGTATTGTGTGTGCATTAAATTAAATCCCCTCACCTTGTTCTGGTTGTTGTTGTCGTATCGCAGTCTCTGGCGGTTCTTGTTCAGTTTGCTCATCAGCATCTTCCCCGTGCGAAAATCAAAGGAGCTGAGGTCCATCTGGTTACCGAGGTACCGGGCCAGCTGAGGCTTGCTCCTAAACTTCTTCCCAGATGGACTGACGAGACACGACTGTATTAGAACAAACTGTTGCTCCAAAACAAAACAACAAAAGAGACACAGACTCATCTGATTGAGACATCACATCCACACATGGATCCACAACGTGCAACGGAAGCATTTTACACATCTAGATGAGCAATGATGCTGAAATCACAGAAATTAATGCATTTTTCAATGGGGGGAAGAAAAAAAACTCAATTAAGTTATTTTATCTAATGAAGAACAATTTTAGTAATCAGAAATGATTATAAAAAAACAATTCCTCAGAACAGTGTTTTAAAAAAAAAAAGTACCACCAGATATGAATGAACACAAAGTAAAGATGGCGAAACTAACATCTAGTGTTTACAATGGCAGCTGCACCGGCAAGGAGCGCCAGCGCCTGCAGCCGGATCAATGAACAACAAAGAAACACGGTGGGTGGATTCGTGCTCGCATCCCATGCAAATGCATCTCAACATGACACAGAACCGTCAACTGTTATGGTTGTACAGTCAGCCTACCACAAGCTATACAACCGACCCGCCTCCCCCCTGTCTTGCCTCTGTTCCTCATCTTGCTCTTCTCCTCTGCTAAATGAGAACAAACCTTGACTTCAGTGGGACACAGAGAGAATTATTAACGGAGATCACACTGACTTTTGTTGACCATTAAGGCCCAGGCAGGCCTGTGCGGCTGAAAGGACTCCTTCTGGGGGGGAGGTGGCCTGCTTGTCCTCCCACAAAAACAGACAACCCCCCCGCCCCTTTTCCTTCAAAACTTTTTTTTTTTTTTTTTCTCTTGGTACCGACCACCCTTGCTCATTTTCCTGTCTGTTTCCATCCGCAATCTCGGTGTATGGTGCAACTGTGGTGTGCTTCAAGTTATCGGTCGTTTAGTACCTAAAATAATAGACATCGCTTTTCCCAGCTGACAAACCCGACTTTCTGGTCACTTCTTCCATTTTCCAGCCTTTGGGGAGAGCAGAGCAATCCCACCTTTTCTTCTCCATTTCCCCCGCGGCTGGCTGGCCAGTGAGTCCGCTCAAAGTTACGGCAAACAGCCGCGTTGGAGTTTGGCAAAACGTACCGCGGCAATCTGAAAAGGCTGGTCTGGAGCTTCTCACGCTTTTGTTTCAACCATTTTAAAGCGCGTGCCCCCTGTAATGGGATCTCCCGGCTAAAAGCATATCGTCTCTATGTGGCTGCGGAGATCGCTCCGCGCGGTTCTCGGCCCCATCACCACCTGCGTGTGACCGTTGGAACTACATCCGCAAAAGGAAAAAAAAAAAAAAAAAAAAAAAAAAAAAAAACGGAGCAGCGCGGAGCTAGACCGGACGCTTCCAGAAGCTTTTCAAAAGAAAAGCTTTTCTGGAATAAAAAATAAAAGTCCTAAAACTTTATGTTGAGTTCTCAATATAGGTCACGAAGCTTTAGTCCATTGACATTTTAATGTGGACAACATCAAAACTGTTGTCCACATTAATAATTCAGGTATTTTGTGTACATTATATCCTTGTTTAAATGGCTCATTAGAAATACCTAAAAGTAGTGAAATCAGGTCAGATGCTTAGAAACCACACAAAAGCAATTCATTTTCAGATAAACACATGGGCCTATAACCCCTTAGTAAATACAAACCACGTTTAATTATTTGTTTCCTACGGAGTCCGTCTGGTAGCACGAGGGGAAAAAACCAAAACAAATCGTGGCCACAGCCTAATAACATTGTTTGCTCTTTTGGACTAATTTATACATGTATCCTACTATAACAAAGTTTTATCCTTTCTGATTTAATTTAAAAAATGATAAAATAAATAAAATTTGATGAGTAAAAAGGAGCAATAACAATAATACACATAATTAAGCTGTCCCTCAAATTTTAATATGACAGAAAGACACTACCATCTTTACATTAGCAGAACAACCACCATGTTAGTTTAGCTCAAATAACAGACATTATTCCAATGGTCAACATTTTTACAATTTTATAAATCAAATAACCGAAAGGCAATCCTTAAATTCAAATAATTTAAATTTAGTTTTCTTGTCATTATTATTAATATTATTTTAAGATTGTCGCCCTGGGTGGCATGAGGTTATTCTAATTCGCATCTTCCTCCTACACAATGCTTTCTCCCTTCCAACATTTCCGTTGCCAGCCAGACAAATGGCAACCCATAAATATGCAGTGTTTTACAGTTGCATGAGCTCAGATCAAAAAAATTAAGACAAGAAAAAAAAATCTGTCTTCAATCTGAGCATCATTAATTAATTGATTGTTGGGCATTTGATTGCCCAACAATCAAATTGGAACAAAATATTTACCAAGGGGCCCAAAAAAACTGGACAGATACTTTTTCTATAACTGGTTTAGCTCTTCTTAATCTTCAGTGAATTCTTCATATAGTTATCTTTCTAAAAGCGCTAATGAATTCACAGTGGTAGTGATTTTTAAATCCATCGATTCAACTTCCACATATCTTCCGCCTACCATAGACGTCTAGACATCACTTTCTCAAACGGAACCTGGCAAGGTAGCAGCACGGTTTAAAAGCATCCCATTTTTTACATTTAATCAGAGAAGTTGATTCATTCAGTAATGACAGAATCATAGATTATTTAATAGAAATGGTAGGTTGATTTTTCGAGGTTTGCTATCATTTTTTGATGAGCGTCTCCAGCTCTCTAAGGCGAGGATGCCGCCATAACCGCAGAAACCCTTCATTCAATGAAGTTTGCATTAATGTACCATATGTGAATTCAAATATGAACAATGTAGCAAGTGTCACACTTATGGTTTGAGCAATAAATAAACTTTAACAAATACACAAGTCACAACTGTTAATCAATTTCATTTGTCAATTAATAAAAAAAAAGCTACAATAGCTTCATTTCTTACCTACAATCTACGTGTGCTTGTTTATCTGATCGTACAAGTTACTTTTATTTTGACACGTAAAGGAAGTCCAGCTTTTTGTTCTGTTTGAACGCTTGCAGCCATCATAACATCTCCATTAACGTATGGAGAACATGAACGTGACAACAGAAAGTAGATCGATCCCGAAGCAGCAATGACAGCCTCCATTACCGCAGCTGAAACTAACAGAAGCAGTGATAAAAAATATATATACATGCATATACATTGTGAATTTAAATGCGCAAGCTCTACGTAAGTTACACGATAAAAAATATAAATAAATAAAAAGGGGGTGCTCGTCTCACGACAATGAAGACCGTCGTCCTTCAGTCTTGGAGCCGGCTTTTTTCATTTCAAGGAACAAAGTAGATCCAGTCAAACGAAGGCGAATAATAAAATACAATCCAAGATATTCTGTGTGAACGCGTTTTAAAACCGACGCAGAAATCCTTGCATGCATTTTGTACGGTTAAATCCTTGTGTTGAAAACGCACTGCATATATCGACGCACTTAAACGAAACATTTAATCGTGCAACTGTGATTTAAATGGGGGGGAAAGCAAAAAACGAGAGCGACAGAGATTCAGGAGACCCCACCGGACTGCTGTTAGCAGAAAGCGAGACCGCAGCGTTTGCCTAATCGATGATAAACATACTTTCCATGTTTATATTAAAAATGGCACCAAGCATAAGAATTGCAGCAACTAACTCCCGTGTTGGTGTCTTGTTCAGTGTTTAGCCGGTCTACTTACTCGTTTTTGTCCATCTTGAGGACACTATCTCGCTTTCAGCCTCTTGCTGTGTTAAATCCCTTCTCCCCTCTGCTCGTTCAGTCCCCTCCCCCGCTACGTTTAAAAATGAAAGACATTATCCACGCAAATATCGCAGTGTGCGTCTCGGGGTGTCAAAAGTCCAGTCCTCGAGGGCCGCTGTCCTGCAGTTTTTAGATGAGCCACAGGTACAGAACAATGGAATCAATTGGCTTAACTACCTCCTGCTTGTGTAGCTCAGTTCTCCAGAGCCTTGCTAATGACCTAATTATTCTATTGAGGTGTGGTGAAGCAGAAACATCCAAAAGTTGCAGGGAAATTGCCCTCCAGGACTGGAGTTGGACACCTGCAGCTCAACTTCTGGTCCTCCAGCTATTGTCGTTAATTCACATTTTGACAGGCGTTGAAAGCTACAGGTGTTTTTCCCCCCTCCCTTAAGTTCACTACACTGAACTTAAGGTTTTTAAAGTACAGTAAACCCACTCAAGATGTTTACATATGGAAGATTTGTGTCACAATAATAACAAAGACAAAAGTTTTAAGCAAAATCATTTTAATAGTTGAAAGTTACAAGATGTATTGGAAATATTAGGTTAAATTAAGAATGCATTCACATCTTACACAACAATGGATCAAAAAGAAGCATTTTTACAGAGTGCATCATGGAGCCTGCAGGGACCAGCCATCCTACTTGAACTTGCTGCTAGAGAAGTCCAGCCATGTACCCAGAGTCCTGGTCCTGTAAGCAGACACAACGCTTATAGAGCAAAACACACATCTGTTTAATTGGGTCAAAAGCACTGAACTGTCCAACTCAGGGAAACAGGATCATGAAGCTAATCATTTCAGACATTGGTATATTTATAAAACTATTCCATCACTACAGCCATTACTTTTTAAAAAGAAGCAAAGACCAGCGATGTCTAAATGATTAGTGTATTACAAAATTAAGTACACAGAAAGAACTAAAGCACAGAAAGCATATTCAAAATAAAATCAATGTTAAAGTAATTTATTTCATGTGTTTACTAATTTTGAAAAATAAAACTAAACAGCCTAAAACAAAATATACAAAAATATAAAGATTTTTTGTAGGTGTTGGTTTTAAAAAATACCTCTTTTAAAACCTATATTAAGTTGCCTCTTTTTTTAAATTAAAATCCCTTTGATTAGATACCTGAAAAAAAAGTGCTGGAGTCTTCTCTTGCTGCACACATGAAAGAGTGCAGGACTGTCCCGCCCCCATCTGTTGCTGTGCAGTTGGTAAGAAGGTTTCCTACATATTTTTCCTTTTGTACAACAAAGACCGAATGGGATAATATTCAGCACAGTAGACACTTGAAAACTACCACAACATTTTCTGTCCATCCTATTCTTGGTCTCTGTAAATATAAAGAAAATATTCCAACTGTTCGATTGTAATATTCAACTGCAGCAGGGATTATATATTTTTTGTTTCAGAAAAAAAAAACAATAGAACAATGTTCTATGTTCTCTGAAGTTTTAAATTAACTAAATTAAACCTTCAGGTGTCAGATGTAAGCAAAGTTGCAGCAATATTAAATTAACACAGAAGCTTGTGTTCAGCTAAGGTACCCAGCATGCCATGTGTTCAACGTGAGCTACCAGGCTGGATTAGAATTAATAAACACTATGCTTGAAATTCACAGGTAATTCATAAGGAGAAACAAAGTGCATTGAATTCACAGACAAAAGACTCACTTCCTACACCGCTCTCTATTCATCCTTCTTAAACTTCCCATTAATGTATGGCACATAGTCCAGAATTAACCGCCAGTCGGTGAAGTGAATGACCGCCACGCCACCAACTGTTCCCCAGGCAATCATATTTGGTACCCTAGAAATGGAGGTAGACAAAAGGACTTCTAAAAAGGACAAATTTAACTGTAAAATAAAATGCATGAATCAAAAACACCTCCTGTTAATTTACTGTGGTCATGCTGCAGCACAATTAACTCTATAAAAAGAAGGACTTATGTGAGAATAAAAGTTTACAAGAAATGTTTTAAAAGTTGAAAAATAGAGTCTTTCAATAAAATAAAACATATCTGCTTTTGCCAGACATACTTAAACCTGTGACTCTGTTAGCAAAATGAGTAAATTAATTTCGATGTCAAGTCGACGTCATTGAATCAGGGGTGCACCGATTGCAGTTTTCTGGCCAATCGCAAATGGCTGATTTTTAAAAAGCCTTTAAAAATGTAGTCCAGCAAATGCCGCTCTTATCACTCCACTCCACTGAGCTAGAGTGCAATGTGCTTCTTCTCAATGGACTTGGTTGCAGATGTTTGCCCATAAAAACCTATTCTACTAAGTGATGTCTGAGCTGATCTGAAGGCATGAACATGAAGTCTCTGCCGAAATGTAGTGACCAACACTTGGTCAGGACTTATTACTGATGTTAAAACTGTTGAGCAGCTTGTGTCATGTTGTAATACTGCATTTTCTTTTTCTTTTTACCAACATCCATTATGCAAAAGATCTTACAAATTTGGAGCTCCAGTTTGTGTGTTGATTTCAAGCCATCATTAGATTAGTATTACTGAGTAATAATATTATATCTAACTATTTAATCCAAAAAGGGGTTCGTCATCTTAAAATGTTTACAGATTTTCATTGTGTATTTTCACTAAGTTAGCATAAAATTACTGACCGACGTGAAACTCAATTGTAGCTTCTATTTCTCATAATCCGAAAGCCTTTTTAATGCTCCTTGAACAGATATCATCTAAGGTAGCAAGCAACTGTACAAAAGGAACTACCAGATTTAAATGGGATTTATTTAAACCAAACAAGCGAACTACAGAGACAATCAATTGTGGACTTATGAGCTTAGCAATAGTTAACTTTAAAAAAATAAGGCTTTTGAGAGTAGAATCACCCAGAGTTTTCATATGGCTAACAGCATACCTTAGACTTAAAAGCTAATAATTAACCACGTCGTTGAAGCAGGTTTAATTCATACCCAAGCTAAGCTAAAGTCAGTTAGACGGGTCACACAGAAGGACACTAGGTCAACAACCGCGAAAAACCGGCACTAATTATCTTCAACATTCAGCCTGTTATAGCGTTATAGTGACTTACCATGTCCTCAGAATTGAGACATATTTGGCACCAACAAATTTATTTAATATTTTCTGAACCATTCCGACTTTCTTCTCGAACACTAATCACAACATGAAAGCGGCCGAACGTTGATGGATTTGAAGGACCTGTTCCAAGCTGCCCCTTCTAATGCCTGACTGTAAAACACCAAAACAAAATTCTGATCAGGTTTTCGCTCAGGACCAATTGTGGACACCAAACATTTAATGTCTTTCCAGCTGCCATCCAACTAGCATTGTTTTCCTTTCTTTGGAATAAAATATTTGATGGCATATGAAAAAAACGACACCCTATTTCTTAAGGATTGGTGTAACAAAAAAAAAAATCCTTAAAAATTAAAAAATAAAAAACAAAATACATGAATAGAGCCCGATACAACAAAATACACAGTCTTCAGTTATAACAAATCTCCTAATAGCTATTCAGGAATTTTACAGTTTAAGACAGAAATCTATGGTGGTTTCACCATCTTCTGCAGGGCTCTCTTCTGAGCCACATTGCACGCATCTCCACTTTAAATGGAGTATGTCAATCCACTCAAACTGAAGATGCTGAAGTGTTTCTGTGCATTTTGATTTTGGCTTGTAGCCAATAAAATCTGGTTTGGCAAAAATTTATTTATTTATTTTTTATATACAAAGATACCACCGACCCCTCTAGAATGAGAAAAATCCACAAAAGTACTTTTATAAAGAAACTGGTTATTCCCAACCACGTTGCTGGAAAACTGAGTGGAAGAAAAAAGTAGCAGAAAACTGTATACAAGCACCAAGGACAACCACAGGCTTGGGAGGATTTTGAACTAACGCCCATTTGAGAGTATGGGGGAGATTCTCAAGGTGTAGATTATACCTAGAGTCAGTCCTTCCTAGAGCCATAACACAGATATCCAGTACATTGATTACAACTGTACCATTCATCTGTTAAGTTGCACTGTTTTATAATTTACAAAGTCCTATCTGGAAATTTTAGAGCACTTAATGCTTTCATCTGCTAGCGAGCTTTATAGAAGTGGCTCAATTTTCAAGCAAGACTTGGTAGCTGCCTCCACTGCTAAGTACCGATACCTATTTTGAGAATCTGTGAGAGGAGATGATAATCATCAGACCAAACAGAGAAGATGAACTGAAAGCCACTATTAAAGCAACCTGGACTTTAACACTTAGAGCCAAAGACTGATAAACTCTATATGGATGTAAACCAGAGGATAATACATTTCAGAAGGTGGACATTCTGTATTAAAGTTTTCATTGATCCAATACTTTGATTTAGGAGAAACAAAAAGCTATAGTAACCAAAATTACAAAACCTTGAAATGTTACAGTGTAATGAATATGTATATGCAGATGAGTTTTACTTGTATTATTCAAATCAATTAACCACTACTTTTAAGATTTACCTGTATAGTTCTCCCAAATTTATTTAATTGGCAATTAAAACAAATTCAATTTCCGAACTACAATAAATTCTTTTATTAAAAAGACTCCTTTTATTTGTTTTATGTATACAATATTCAAAAGCCAGACATTGTAAAAGGTATAATCTGTTGTTAAAAATGGCACATTTATTGCTACATTAATGTTATATACAGGACAAATCTCATCTACTGTTTGTAAATAGAAGAGTGATTGAGTCAGAGAGAAGTCAACACTGTCCTCAACCCAGAATCACAAACTCTGTAAATGTATTTAACACTCATTGGTCGCGTCCCTTTATAGTTCAGCTAAATAATGTCATTAAAAACCTGAAAATGTTTTGATATAAAATCAGTGTTTGCTATTGTTGAGAGAAGTCAAAACTTTACAAGTTTCTGAAGAAATGAGTGAAATTTGTGCCACTACAAAATTTAGACGTGTCATTTCGAGACAAATATAAACCACATTTAGACATTTTTCTTTGAAAAAAATTCCAGATATCCAGTACACCTACTGATTTTGTGAAAATTAATCTGATATAAAAAAAGTATTTCAATGTCAAAGTCACAAAAAAAAACAACTGAAAATTAAGCTCAGGTCTGATAACAATAACTACTGATTACACATATTGAAAGCCACTGCAAACAAGTTATAAAATACTCCTATTCAGATGATTCAGCTAATGCAGGAACAAAAACTCTCTCCCTACATGGAAGCAACACACCCGAAACATGTCTATGCAGATAATAGATCAGAGGATGATGCAATCTCTTTTTTTTTTAAGCTTGTCATAAATTTTGTAATTACAGGGTACCTATTAACCTGGACCAGTGACCTTAATGGATAACAGCAGGTTGGACAATGTAATCCAGTTGAACAGACAGCAGAGAAAAAGAAATAAACTAAACAAGATCTGCTTAACATTTATTTATTTAACTAGGTACACTGAAAGAAAATCTCTTTATACCATTTAAACTTCTTCCTCAAAAATTGAAAAAAAGCATTTGGAGAAAAGGGAGGATGGGGGAGGGGGGAATGAACAAGTACCTCTTTAATCTCCAAGATAAATGAAATGATATGGTACACAACATAAAACTGTCTTAAATGGAAAAAAAAATACAAGTTCAGGCACTGATAAGGCATCACTCTCCCATCGTGACATCTTAAGTCTTGAGAATGAAAAGGCCACACTATTGATTTGTATATGTCTTTTTCTTCATATTTTTTTTTTCCTTTTTTTTGTAGAAATGAAACACACAAAATGTTCTACCTCCCACTTGTGATTACATGTTGGTAAAAAAGAAAGAAATAATTAACATGACATGGGAATAACATCACAATAACACTGTTTTGTTCTCAATAATAGCCATTACCTTACACCCAAATCCAGACATCTGCCTTTAGACACAGACTTACTTGGTTTAAGGGCAAACATAAAAAAAAAGTGAAAAGAAATTACAATGTGCTAACAAAACCCAGAAACAACTTTGAAAATGAAGGCAAATCCACATTTAGCATGGTAGCTACATTCAAAAACCAGTTGCATAATTACTGTTGGAGACAAGAAAAAAAAAAAAAAAAGAAATCCCTTCTGATGTTTTGTCACATGACTGTGGCACAAATTCTGTCCAGATATGCCCAAATGGAAAAGAAGGCATTCAACTTAGTAGTTATTGATGTGCCTTTGAACTAAAACTGGGACAATGAAAGGATTTACAAACACGCTCATTGATCATCTGTCCATCCTTTTCCTTGCATCCTAGTTTAATTTCAAATTAAAATTTGAACATCATTTAAAAGTTAAATATCCCCTTATACAGCTCATCTACAATACACTCTAAACTTCAAACTAATATTGCCATTTATGTAAAAAATCTACAATGTATAGACTAACAAAAAATATATATTTTTATATATATTTACTTTTGAAAAATGAAACAGAATAATGTATGAAGTGAATTTACAGGTCACACTTCTCTCAGTAAGAAAGGGGAGAAACACGCCGACGGTCAGGAGGAAGGTGATGGGTTCGTAATTCAGCGGGAATGCTCGTTTAGGAATTACACAAAAGGCTCGTCTGCTTCGACTGAGAGAAGAAGAAAAAAAATCCCTCCTGGATTTGTTTGCCTTTTAAAGTACATGAATAAAAGGGCGGGGGGAAAACGATTCGTGTCCGCTGGCACCGTCAGTAAACCATGTCGAGGAAGGAGCAGCACAAAAAGTGGTGCTGGTCGATCACAGATGATTTGGATGGCTTTAATACAAGACTTTCAGGGACTGAAATGTGACGCAGGTCAAGCCTAAATCTGTACAACTGTGCTTCGTCTCGTCCGTGTATGCTTTACAACACAAAGCAGGACAAAAACCTGAATGCGTGACGGAGGGCTTGCTGGAGAAACGTGAGAACGCCTGATCAACAAAAGCGGAAGAACTGTTTTTTTGTTTTGTTTTGTTGACCGACTCCTTCACTTGGACAAATCATAACTTTCTAGGAAGAAGTCTTTGATTCCAAGCCTCCAGATGCCTCGCGGGGGGCTGAGACCATGTCTGGTTGGAGTTCCCATCTTTCAGGTAAGCTGCACTTGAAATGTCAAAAACATGGGCGCCGACTCTCCGCCGCTTTCCACGCGCTCGAGGAAAAGTCACTGAATTTTGACAGTTCAACTCCAGCTGTGAGTTACATAACATATGTAAGACTGTACCATCACGCTGGGAATGACATACATTTAAAAAAATAACTGCTCATACACATAAGCAATCCCTCACAAATGTTCCTCACATGTAAAGCAATTTGCCTTAATGTCAAATAGAAAACATGTAACAATTAGGCACAAATCCTTGATTTCATTTGTGTTTGTATAGGTCTCCTTTTTATTCCTCCACCAGAGCACCTCTTGGCAGTGTGTGTAGTCCCAAAGTGTTGAAAGGACAAAAAGTACTCTGGTGTTCAATTTTCGTGTTGGAAACCAAAAAGGAAAATAAAAATATTACATGTATAAAACAAACCAAAACTTAAAAAAAAAAAAAAAAAAAAAGTTCTTCACATTTGAGCTTGTAGTCATGGCTGGGAGTGCGAAAAACAGATTGTGTCAGTTTTGGCAGTATGCATGTGAGTGTGTCAATGTGCATCTTGAAACTCGAACGGACAATACACGGACATGTCCACATATATACACGCACACACACACTGAGAATAATGGGTGGAAGAAATCTGTTAAGGCCACATCCTCTGAGAGCCAGGAAAACACCAGATCTGTAAAGCAATGAAAAACCCAAACACGTTAAAAAGCTGGAAAAACACATAAAAAAACAACAACTAGGCAAAACAAGTTTTTTTTTTTTTTTTTAGCACAATTCATATAAGCATTTTGGATAAGCTGCAGCGATGTTTTACACAGACCTGTTTATGCTCTATTGTAATAATCTAACCTATTGAAAATATGTCATTTATATCAGAGGTAAAAGCAACGCAATATGTGAGAGAAACGTCACTATGTAATAGAAATTTTCAAAGATAATTTGGAGTAGATATTTAAAACGGTCATTCGAGCTTATTTTTTAATTTTCAGAATAACTAGCATTTAGCAAGATTTACCATAAATATGTAAGTGTGTTCCCTACAGAACGTAGACACTTATCTTAGTGGTGACATTTCTCGGAGACTGCAAACATTCTCAGACTCAGTATGTTACATCACATGGAG